CACAGTTTCATCCAACAAAACTAACGATAGAAGCTCAAATACATTATATTCAAGTGGATTCTTGTCTAATGCATGAGTTAATTATGAAATTGCAGCATAAAAAAAGCATTAATCATGATTACAATCAATAATGAAAAACACCAATGTAATCAACAATGTTCTTTTCAAGTACAATTTACTAACTTTTAAAGAACTATAGATAACCAAGGATGCAAAAATGCATGGGATATAACATCGTTCTTTTGGGTACAATGTTATGCCAGCTTGTTTGCGGGGAGGTTGCGACATGCGACACGTAAGTACTCTATACTACGATCAATACTCTGCATGGTGTCTCACGAGTGCAGTTGAGTTCTAAAGTCTTCCGCATTTGTATAGGGAAGTATGGTGTGTTATAGAGACATGAAAGATTCTAAAATATTGGAGAGTTCGTATAGATTTGTAGAGTGTAGATATTTTCTTTTAAAAGTAGGAAGTTATCTATGATTATAGATATGTAAGATATTTATGTAGCAGTTTTAGAGGGTAGATCTTAGTCACTAATTGTAATGCATCTTAACCTTAACCATCCACTAGAAGAGGATAACCATATATATGAGTGAAAGTTTTATTGGTAATATCAACCTCTTAATGAATTATTAAGAAAATAAGAACAGAAATACAAATATAGAGTATTACAAATATCCAAAGAGGAACTCGATATGAACACTGATAAGGCAAGTCGCCATTAAGAAATGAACATGTGTTCCCAGTTATTTTATTTATTTTCTTTAATGCCATGAAGTCTCCTAGACTTATTTGATAATCAATAAATCACAAAATTTATTTATTGAATTACAATTAGTTGAATATAAGAACTCTAATTTTTCTTCTCATATACAATTGTGAAGTATACAAAATATTCCTAAATTTTTTTGTTTCTATTCTATGTTATAATCAATGTCAAATATATTTATTTTTTACTTTTTAAATTAAGAACTGAGTAGAGGAATAAAGCTCTTGTAGGATGCAAATCTAATTCCTTCAATTCCTTATACCCAAATCTCTATATGACTTGAAGAAAAGTCCCTATAGCTTCAGCGTTGTGATATTCTTTTACAGATTATCTCAATTTTTTTTTTTTTTTTTTTTTTTTTCGAACGGAGGTTTGTCTTTCATATTGTCTTTGTTTCAACTCTTTCATATTTGGGTGGATGTTTTGCATGGTGCTAGAAATGAGGAAGAGCACGGAGATGAAGAAGTTGAATTTATTATTGTAAACCTAAGACCTCGACATCGAAGTGTTTTTTTTTTTTTTTTTTTTTTTTTCGAATTTTTAGTGCTTATATGACTCCAACTCTGGTTTTGTAAATATTGACTTGCTTGAAGGCGAGAAAGTTTGGTGTACTTCAACTAATATGTAGTGCTGGTTTGCTGATCTTGCTTTGTGGATAACTTCTATTTATTATTTATTTTACTTCAATTCATATATATTGTCAGAGAATGAACACGTAAGTGTGAAGCATGAATTTTTTTCTTCTATTTAATAATTTAATATGCATTACTAAACATGTTTTTTACTTTTTTTTTTAATAATTTGGTTTTTAGCATTAGATTTTTTTTATTAAAAAAAAAAAGTTCAAAATTAAGGAAAAAGTTAAAGGGACAGCATGTAAAATAAAAACTCTACCTTCGTCTACATTTATTTTCCTTACTATTTTTCAGGGCAGTCAAACAAGGGGGAAAAAAATTGATTTTCTTTATTTGTGTTGTTCCTTCTCTTTTTTTTTTTTTTTTTTTTTTTTCAATGCATTATTAAGTTGAATTATCCACCTGAACATTTTGTAAGCCTGCTAACCTTGACACGGTTCCCGACATCTATAATCTCGTGAATATACATTTTGATGTTGGGAACCGTGTCAAGGTTAGGAGGTTGACATATCTCAATTATGCTAAAGACAATCTCAAGCCAATATTACTTTTACTAATGCTAAATTTAATTCATTAGAATCCAAATAATTATGACATTTGCAGAACAAACGAAGTAGGACAAAAAAACACAAAAACTTTCAACCCAAAGACAACTGTTGTAAAATTTCTAGCCCCCAGTTAATTTTATATATATATATATATATAACTTTGAACCCAAAGACAACTGAGACAACTGTTGTAAAATTTCTAGCCCCCAGTTAATTATATATATATATATATATATATATATATATATATAACTTTCAACCCAAAGATAACTGTTGTAAAATGCTAATATATATATATATATATATATATAATTAAGATCAATACTTGCCTCCCACAGGTGAGGAGGAACCTCCTCCAAACCACTGTAGGTTGTTTATTCCAAAACCTAGCTCTCTAGTGTATAAACAATACTATAAAACAAGATGAATATAAAGAGAGAACAAAATTTTGAACTATAATGTAGCAGATATCCGTGACAGTTGTGAACAACAAGAACGAGCATAGAGAAACAATCCTTAGCTTCTTTGTTGATACTGCAGCACATAAATGAGACACGCATGGAATTTCGTTTTTTCATAGCATTTTTGTTGAGACTGCAGAAAATAAATAGGAAATGCTTGGAACTTAGAAAATGAATTATCCAAGTTCCACTAAGCTGAGAAATGGCTTCCCGTGCTTCTTAGGAGGACCTTCCTGCAGAACCTAGAGAGGATTGCCTTCCACCTGAAGCTCTTCGGAAGGCCACATCTCTTTGCATCGAGGGATGCAAACACTGTCAGATGTGGCTTTTGGGCTGAAAAAGCTGAAAGCGGCTTTCTGAAAACTTTCCTAACAGGCATGAACTCCATTAAAGGTTGTCGTGCCAGGAGGGGAAGAACCACACACATGCATGCGCAAAAGTATGATCCATGAGGATTTTTTTTTTTTTTTTTCATTTTCAAGGATGGCATATTACTCTTTCTTTGATCGATATGTGATGCCTACAAGATTTATACATCGTTGCTCTACATAATTTTTTTCCTTTCCCAGATGAATATTTCTCCCCCTTTCCCCTCCTTTCCCTCATTTTCCCTCCGCTCTGGGTAAAAAGAATTAATCCGGGTTTAGTCTGACCCAAACTGCCAACTACAAAACAGAAGAAAGCAGTAAAACCAGCAATTTCTATCATTGCTTTAAAAATGGCAATTTCTATTGTGACATGTTATCTGTGTTTCTCTTCATAACACTAACATTGTTTAATCTCTAATTTGATGTAGCTGTACATCTAATTCTTCTGGAAATAGAATGGCACAATAAGGTCTAAGGTTGGCGACTAACATAAGAGAAGTTGTAAATCTATATCAATTCTAGTCTTGAAGAATGCTTCCGAAGCTTTGATCAGATTCCAGAGGGAAATGTCTACATAATGAAGGCTTTTGCTGGCCAAACACAAAAGTGAAGAAATGTAAGCTTAGCTCCATATGAAGATACACGCTATGCCGTGTTCAGATTGAAATGTTTCCAAAACCAGAAACCAACAGTTTAGTAAACAGGTGTCCAACGAGTCAGAAGTATGCTTTTGCTACTTCAACATGTAGATTTTAAGTCAGTCACCTGCATGAGTGTGGAAATGGTTATCCATAAGGAAAGTTCATTAGGTCCTACTTCTTCTACATTGATAATTTGATACTGATATTTCCTCTCTAGTTTAGTGACTCTTACTGTCTACATTTGGTCTTTAACATAGAGTCTGCAAAGATGAACATCCAAATTCTGACTGGTATAAAACGTGTCATTTTTTAATGCATTGTGCAGCAAGATGCCTCACAAACTTAGTAAGGAATGCTACATGATACACAATATTAGACCGTTGAGGAAGTCCAGGCAACACGGAAGCCCAAGGGTCTGGATAAGCTACAAGGTGGTGGAGATAATGACTACCACTCTTCCTGGTATCTCTCTCCCAGTTGGTGATGGAGAAGGCAAGGGAAGCAGTCCCATGACAGGACACTACTACCACTAAATCTCCTATAAAAAAGGAGGTCAGGCAACTCAAATGGTATGCCAAAAATTAAATACAAAGTCCTTTCTTTGATGTAGAATCGTTCAAGTACTAACTTAATCATTGGAGTGTACCCGGGTGGCACCACACCGATGCTAGTCTCGGTCACCACTTTTCTTTTTTTGCAGGAAAGGCGTTTGGGGATAGTGCAAAATTTTCTGTCTTTTTTTCTTTTCTTTTTGTGTGTATGTATTTTCTGTGAATTAAATGAAAACATAACACCTGCGATGAAATTTTTGTTTCTTGAAGGTTGTCCACATTAAGCAATGGCCAAGTCATTGCTTAATTTAAGATGTTAAAGGAGGCCTAAACTAATATGAGATTGAATGAAAAACACAAAAATGGAAGAGCTCTCTTTTGTGAAGAGAAAATTGAGCAGCTAGTAATTATAATTTCTACAATAACCACTTGACCTGACCTACTTGGTATGATCTCCCAAATAGGAGGTCAAATGTTTAAGTCCCAATTACCAAGTAGTGTAAAATGGGTGTGTGTTGCTTACTTACCAAAATAAATAAAAAACAAATCTACAATAAATACTTAAAACTATCCTTGAATAATACCAATCTTTATATATTTAAATAACCATCTCAGGGAAACAAAATAAAACAAAATGTAAACATCTCCTCATGTTTGCTCCACTCAGTGAGTAACCATAAAAAGGAACAGACAAAAATGAGACTGTATCGTGTTAAAACTTATATCTGCTTGTCAAAAGTTGGAGAAATTGAAAAGTGTTGAAATAATAACTCTAATTGCTTTATCATTGTATTCCTATTTTTCCAAAACATCAAGAACAGCACTACCAAATTTTGTTCACATTCTTCGCCTCCTCTAATATTCTCTCTTCATCCCCTGCTATTGGTCCCACTAAAAACACAATTTCTCTCAGTCAAATCCACTGATATGTAATTAGTTTTATTTTAAAAGAATTGCTATGATCTAACCAGAACTACACCATCAGTAACAATATTATGCAACAAATTGCTACAATACTAAATTTTAAATTCTTCAAATGAAAGGGGCATATTTATTAATTATTCATGAGAAATGTCACAAGGAAAGAAGCAAAGAACATATCACTATAATTTACAACCCCTTAATTGACAGTATGAGAGCTTCAACGCTCTCCCTTCTTCCCATTTGATTCCGGAATCAGCATAAAAATTGCATAATCAAAACTTCTCCTATAATCTAAAATAAACCCTAATTCATAATTCAAACGAGCAGAGAAGTACCTCGTCGATCAAAATCAGCAAGACAACCAATTCTTGTGAGTACTGATGACCGCCGATAAAAGCCCCGCGCATGACAGCAACAGAGGCCCCGAGAGCTGCCCCTTCCCGTCTCGAATGTCGGCCAACGCCATCAACCCATCAGCCACATCCTGCACAATCGATAGCTTCTTCATCAACTTCTTCTTCCTCAAGTCCCCCATCTTCCGCTCTTCCTCACTACACCCAACCCCTCTCGTGGTCGAAATTTCGATACTCGATTTCAAACAAGCTTCCTCCTCCAAAATCATCCTCAAATCCCTAATTTTCAAACCAATACTCCCTATATAACCGATAAATTCAGCCCAAGCACTGATCTTCTGCAAATTACGCGAGTGTTTAGGATCGATCAAGCCCGATTTGGCCAACCAGACGAATTGTTCAACGAAGTAGTAAAATCCCTCTCCTCCGTAGGCGATAATGGAGAGAATGATTTCTTCTTTGGAGCTAAAGCATGTGTTTCGTAGAGCGTTCAAATCTTGGACGAACTTGCCGAGCCTGAAGGCTTTGCGACTGAGGCCGACGCTGGACTCGAAGCTCTTGAGACGGGGAGTTAGGGTTAGGGTTTCCGGGAGGACGGCGGAGGCGAGGATGATCTTGGTGGCGTAGCGTGAGATCTTGAGAAGCTTGTCGACGCCGTCGCGCTTTGCGAGGTAGGCTTCGAGGTGGTTCAAGAAATCTCTGTTCTTCTTCGTTGTTGTTGTTGATTTTGGGACGACAGCGTCTTTGTGGGTCAGCGAAGAAGAGAGGTTTGACGCTTTGGGTTCCATGGAGTTGCAGAGAGAAAGGAGAGAGAAAGGAGAGAGAAAGTCTAATGTTCAAGTACATGATTTCATTTTGGTAAGAGAAAATGGATGAAGACAGGTTGATGAAATGAAGCGACGTCGTATTGTTGGTCATGGATGCAGAGAAACTTCGAAATCAGTTACGGGGTTCAGTTATCTAGGAAAGGAGGTGTACTCGTTTGAGTGTACAAAAGTATCATACTCGCTTTCTAGGATCGGACTTTGGTCTGGACAACCCGTATTTGGCAGTCCGACCCTGATTATATCAATGGGCGAAAAGCCATGATTCTAAGAGCATAAGCCTCAACCCGACCTTTAAATATTGTTGGGTTCAATTTAAGATTAATATAAATTATAATCCAAGGTTCAAAGTTAAATCAGATTCAAGCAGCATAGTGTTTTGAGTGTGAGATGTTAGTTTGTTCAAAGTTACTTGGACCGTAAACCTACTCAATAACAAATGATGATAGGATTCATGTGCTAGTGTTTGAGCTAGTTTCGAATTAAAAATTGAAATGTTTTTAAGTTAAATTTATAATAAATGAAAAAAAAATTAAAAATAAAACGAATACAATTAATTTTATGCGACACCATTCATCACTCACTTATATGTAATTGATATTGTATGATTGTTAGATATTTGATCATATATCTTAATTTATTTGATGTAACAATATTTAAATAAAAATTCTAATATAGCATTTGGAAGCTCATGATTAATGTTTTAAATTAAAATTTTTAAAAAAAATTAATTTTGAATTAAAACTTTTCTAATATCAAATTTAAATCACGAATACGGTATTGCCAAACATAGGATAAATGATCGAAATTCAATTGCTGAACTAAATTGCAAATCGAGTAGTAATAGGCGCGTGAAAGGATACAGTATGGAACTAGTGAAACAAAACGCATGCTTGTGTAACTTTCACTATCTATTATTGTTGTGCGTGCCTTTTGCCGATACGCAAACCCTGATTTTGTCCACATAATCCACATTCCACATCAACAGTGAAACCAGCAGGGGCCAGCTGGAATTGCTATCCTTCTTTGGAAATTTTCTAGCCAATTTAGTCATTTAGACAAGGACAACTCAATCCTATTTATTTTATGGGTAAAGAACAGCTACATTTCCTTATATTTGATAAAAGGAAACAAAAATAAAAATTACTCATTTTTTAGATATCGATATCCCTCGTTTGAAATTTTATTTTTAAGCCTTATAAAAAGATAAAATTACCTCTCAATATTAAATTTAAATATATTACAAAAATATCAGACCTTGCAAAATTACGTTATAACCCTTTATACATATACACACGCACGGAAATTGGTTGCTATAGCCCCTTAGCTATAGAACCAGATGGAAGGGGAAGCCTGGTAAAGCCGTGAAATTGGTTATCGCCGCCGTTGTTAGTGGCGGCTGCGGTGGCGGAGGGTGGTTGGAGGTTGAGTTTTTTGGAGGTCGGTTGTTCTTAAAGAGACGACACCGCCGCACACCTCCCACACAACGAAGAGATCTAATCAGAGAGGGTTAGGAGGTGAATCGAAGAAATCGGGTGTTGGGAGGAGAATCGAAGAGGGTTGGGAGGTCGGCGAGTTGTGTGTTGCCACCTGCACCTCGTCAGCTGAGTTGGTGTCGCCACCGCAAACAACATTGGGCTTCGATATGACGGTGGATAGACCACTGTCGGTGAGAAGAGGGTTTGTGGGTCCTCTAACACGGACCGGGCGTTGTCGCTGGACTCATTGGCGAAGGTGACCGCACTTGGAGCAGACAGTGTCTCCGGCCGAGTGATCTATTGATAGAACCGGCGGGAAAGAAGATGGGTTGTGACCTTGCGGCGCGGCACCGACAGGAAAGAAAAAGCTCTTCTGTGAGCTTCTCGGCTGATCGCGGCGTGATGGCATCAATAGCAACAACGGACTCGGCTGTGATGAGGAACCGCGGTGGTGAGCTCGATTGTGAAGAAGACCTTGTTTGGCTTATATGGGTGTAATTTTGAGGAGTTGGGTTTCGTGTGGTGGTGGTCGGTGAATTGGTGATGATGATGGCGGCGGCGGCTGCGGCGGCTGAGGGGTTCGTCCGCGGTGATTATGTAGGGTGTGTGTGTATATATATATATACACGCACATATACAAAGAGAAAGGTTTGGATTTGGGTTTGGTTTTAATCCAAGATATTTAAGTCAATTAAATTACCAATTTTATATCAAAGAATAATAAAGTTAATTCATTATTATCAAGATCTCTTGTTCATTTTTCAAACTTAAAAGGGTATTATTATTTAAAAAATGAATAACTTTTATCTGTATATCTGGTTGTCAATCCTCAAAAGGTGCGGCTATACTTTTTTTTCTTTTGTCTGACAAAAAATAAGGGAAAGTATACTTCTAAGAGAGACTCTCACCATCACACAAAAAAAAACAAAAGAAAAATGTTGACTTGTTGTCTCAAAATAATTATTCCAATTCAAATTTTTATGTTACTGTTTTTTAACATTCTTAATTTATCCTCAGAAATTATAAAAGCAATTAAAATATGTGAACTTACCACTACAATTAAAAAAAATGATCAATTGCATTAAAAAAACAGATGTGCATCAATGACTTTTTTAATGGTTTTAAATGTCATATTTGCCCCTTATTATCTAATTCAATTAATTTACAAAATATTAACTTTATTAATTGACAAAACTACCTCATCATTATGCCTATTTCTATACCATAATCTTAAATTTTTTTTTTTTTTTTTATTATTATTTTTTTTTATCATTTTAGTACTTAGCTGTCAACACTCCCTCTCTCTTCTCGATCTCAGATATGGTTGCTTTATTTTTTTTGTCCCTGATGTGTTGGGTCTGGGCTGGCCATGACTGTTTTTTTTTTTTCCCCCTACTTTGGTGGTGGTTGTTGTGGTATTGTTTGGGTGTAGTTATGGTGGTGTCTATGTTATCAGGGTGTTTTAAAAAATATATATATATATTTTCTATTGTGAGGGTGGTGGTGGTTCTGGTAAAGTCTGGGTGTGTTGGTGGTGATGTTATCTTGGTGTGGTGGTGGTTTTGGTAGTGTTTGGGACATATAAGTATGGGTTGACCATAGTTGTATTCAAAAAAAAAAATTCTACTGTGATATTTGGATGTGATGGTGGTGGTTATGGTGATGTACAATTATCTGGCTATTTAAAAAAAAAAAAATTTATTTTTTATATTTATGTTGTGGTTGTGGTTGTGGTTATGGTGGTATAAGTATTATTATATATAAACTATATTTATATGTATAGAAGAGATGAAAAAATTAGTTTGGTCCATTAAATTTAGTTATGAAGTTAAATTTGTAATTTCATGATTTAAATAGAGTTGTTCACAAGTCAAATGATTAAAAGGTAATTTTATATAGTTTTAGAGGTCTGAAGGGGGGTGTCAATGCACAATTTTGAAACTTCAGGGGATATCAATGTAAAAAAAGTCATTTATCGTTTGTTCTCTCATAACAGTTTCTGTTTTCTGAGTTCTTTAGAACTGTTTTCAGAGTTACAAACTAAGCACGCTAAGTTCCAAAAAGAAACTTTTTTTTGGTGAGACCGAGAAAGTATTATAATTTTTGTCTCACATTATATTCGGATGCCATGAAAAAATAATAATAATAATAATAACTACTCCGTATATACTTATTTGACAAGAGTGAAAGTTCAGTCATAGACTTGCGCAGCGAAAGGAATTCAAACACATACTCAATATATTGAAAACGATTCAGCCCATCCCAATTTTTCATAGAACCGCCATACTGCATCATGGACCTGAAGTTCCAATCGTATTGAGTTCAGAAGTCTTCATGTTTAAGCCCATAGGGTCCGGCCCATTTGTAGCTGTCATAGACCAGGTCATATACTCATATAGCCGTTAGTTACCCACTAACATTTGCCTTTTGCGGGTCACTTGGATGTTGTATATGGATTCTTTCTCGTAACGGTAAGGAACATCCCCACCGAATCCATGCACCAACCGACTCACATTCCCACAGTACCAACTGAATGCGACCCATTGCCTAAGGTTGTTCACTTGGTCCCTCACTATATGAAATACCGCTTTTACCCTCCTTCCACTATTGCTAAATAACTCCACCAAAGTTCATTAAGACCATTTTAATTTACATACCTACCGACACATATACACAAAGTGGATTAAAGAACACAAAACAAAAATAATCAATAAAGACCATTCATGTGGATTCGCATCAAAATGTTTTTATCGATTTTATGAATATTTATTGCTTATTTTTATATACATATATTCGCATAAATATTGATATATATATGGCATGTTTGGAAATCATAATTATTTTGTGTTTTTGCTTTTATCACAAATAGAAGTAATGTTTCTGTTTGTAATGTGTTCATTAATACTATTAAGAAGGATGTTTGGTGAAGTATATTTGTTGTAAGATTTTTGGTAGCAAAAATATGAAAATATATCCAGTAAAAAAATATTACAAGTTTGAAAAATACAATAAATAGTTAAGATTTTTTATTTATTTATTTTTTTACACTATTTGTGCTATAGTGCTTTTGCGACGGTGCGGAAACAACTCAGAGTTTCAATTTGGTGTTTTTGACTTTGATCTATTTTTCAAAAGCAGTTTGGTACTATTCAAATCGCAGCAAACGTTGGCCTCGTTTGACAAACGTTTTGTTTCTGCTGTTTTTTCGTTTGACAAACGTTTTGTTTCTACTATTTTTGTTTTTGGGTTGCTACAATATCGATTTTGACAACAAAAGCATGTTAAGTGCAGTCTTAATTGTTTTATTTTACACAGTGCTAAAACATTTCGTGAACAGTGGCCCAAAACCAAAATACTAAAAAGTTAAATTTTTTCTTATTTTGACAACTGTTCATGACTCAAAAATCATAACAGTAGCGCAACACGAGTCAAAAATAAAACACCTAAAACATTGTTCCCAAACGTGCTTCCAATTTAACACTCTTACCGCAAAAATATTGTTTCTGTTTCAGCTAAAAATAAAACGCCTAAAACAAAATGCATGTCAAACGGACCAATGTAAAAACAGCTGCAAAATAAATTCATAACCATCAAGCTTTTGTTAGATTGATAAAGTTGATAACGTAAGGTGATTGCAACTTTATAAGTAATATTACGTCGATTTGAAAGTAGGTGTAATCATATTTGCATTAACATTCTTTTCACTTTAGTTGTTATGTTGCCTTCATTTTATTTTTCAAGTAGTGTATATTAGGCCGGTCGGCTATAAAAATGTAATGACTTCAAAATTAAGAATGCATTGGTATGATTAAGGGCATGGAAATTAAGATATTTGCGAAGTGGACACTGGGCACACACACAAATATATAATTATATATAAATATATTAATCTTATCCTCTTTTGAATGGGACAGATATGATATTTAACAAATTTACTAGCACTTTAAAAAAGAAAAATCATTACTAACTCAATTAAGAATGATAACTAAAAGTAGTTAATGATCATTTTCCTTTAAGTTGCAAATCATGATGACGTTTGAAATCTAACATTTTTAGTCGGTCATGCAATATAAATGTTTTAGAGTCACATCGCCATTAATTTTTCTAAGGGAAAGATAATTGAATGCTATAATTATTTCTTCTTTTTTTTTTAATTAAGAAATTTTGGAAAAAAAAAAGTTTAGTTATTGTTAATAATAACTATGCACCAAGGGCTAAAAGAATGGTACAAAATTTTCCAAATAACTTAAAACTAATCCTATATCATTGACATTCCGTGTAGCAGTTGAATTTAAATTCTCGGAATTAAAAAAATGATACTACAAGAATATATTCATATATTATAAAAATATCTTAACATGAGCTTTCATTGAATTAATTAGCCTACCACATATTAAATGGATCAAGATCATCTAATAATTTTTATTATATCCTCTTCTTTTTTATATGAAGCTGAAATGTTTAGTCCCTGTAACGTAATAATTGTAGTCTAAGTCACACAATCTTTCTCAACAGGTATCACTTTCGCACTCCGAGCACATTCCTGCTCTCATGCTCTGCGCGAGCTTTCGCTCAAATTTTTTCAATTTATGACTTAATTTTGCTACTCTCACATTTTTGCTCCCACTTCTGCTTATTGTAACTTAAATTGTGACTATGAGCGAGTATTTTATTTATTTGGTTTAGTTTTTTAAAAATAAATTTTAAGAATTTAAAATATATATATATATATATATATATATATATATATATAGAAAATTATTAAAAATAACGAGACTTTTTAAAAATAATTTTAAGAAACTGTCATCCAAATAAATTTTGTAGGAATTTTCTGATTTTCAATAATAAAAAAATTAAACCAAACAAACCTTAATATTTTAATCCTACTAAATAACGCTCCAAACATTACACGATAAAGTTTGTTAAACTCTCTTTATCATTTTCTGTCTCTTTTCTTTTTTATATTGTTTTCTAGTTAAACAATACTACTATGTAAAATTTGGATAAGACTATTTTGCTGAAAATAATCTAAGGCCAATATCGTCATTTCGCTCAACCTCCTATCCCTTTGGGAAGCCAAAAACAGTAGTAGCAACCGGACACGCACGCTCTCTCACCGGCTGAAACCGGTTACCATATCCAACAGTGTTCCCTGTTTTAAAACCTCCAAACCGGCCAGTCCGTTTTCCCATCGTTTTCCGCCCTCTCCCCACTCTCTCTCTCTCAAACACCAAACTTCGTTCACACTCTGTTTTTAAACCCCAACTCTCTTTCACATTTTCACATCCAATTCGAACCAATCGCAGAGACAATACATATAATTTGTTTATAGAGCATTTAATCGAACCCAAAAGGCCTCAAATTTGGAAAAAAAATCATTGGATTTGCGTAGCAATGTCAGTGGCTACTGAGCTCCGGTCACCAGTGAAACTGAGTTCCGAGACCAGAACTGTACTCGGCGTGGCCGGGAACAGAGTTAGGGTTTTGGAAGAGTCGCGAAGGAAGAAAGAGGTGGTGAAGAAGGCGCAGAAGCCGAGTAGTAGGTTGGTCTCGGAGACTCCGCAGTCGGTTGTTCGGAGCAATGTGTCTGTGGACAGTGCGTGCTCGTCGGACTCGTCTTCGAGCGGTTCTTTTGTGAAGAAAGTGAGTTCTAAGCGGAGAGTGAGATGTAATGGTTTGAAGCCTATGAAGGTTGTTCCGGACTTGGTCGAAGTTGTGACGCTGTCGTCGGTTGTGTCTGGTCCGGTGAAGCGGTGCGACTGGATAACACCAAATTCTGGTGAGTCTCTCTCTTACTTTATTCTTTTATTTTTAATTTTTTTATTTTTATGCATAGCTAAAATCACTTAACTGTGGATTTATTTGGTTTAGATCAGAAAACTGCCAAAAATAAATAAATAAAACCTTGTTTAGTTCTATTTTTAAATTGTTTTGAAAACTCAGGAATTGTTTTTGTAACAATTTTATGTTTTCTTTGTTCTTTATAATGAATAATACTTACCTGCTTATGAGTAGATACTGCTCACGGTCGTTCAATCACAAATGCTCATTTATCCTTTAATTACAAAATTAAGAAAAGTAGACTTCCATTTTTTTTGTTCTTTTTCTTTTCAACCTTTAAAATTAATAACTTAAGGTGATGTATGCATTTCTTATTGGACCATATCAGACATCAGTAGAGAGTATCTATTCACCTGTTATGTATATACCAATTTATGTGAGTTTCTTTTTTCTCTTTCTCTTTTGTTTTGTGCACCTGAAATTGGCCTTTGGACGGAAGGTAAGTCTAGGCTGAGGACCAAGTCTATGCTCAGATACCAAAATTAGTCTTCTCAATCAATCCATTTTTGTCATCTCTTGGATGTTTACACACGAATTTGTATTTTGTTAAGTCCTGTTTTTGATACTTTTTTAACATCAGTTCTAAATCCAACCATCTTTTATTTTATTTTAAATGCCCTGACTGAATTAGAACTAAGATTTTGTAGCTATAAGTTTTATAATATATATATATATATATAAAATACTAAAAAATATAAAATAAATGATATTTTTAACTGATTGTTTTCATGGTACTTCTATGTATTTTTGGCAAAAGTTTTGAAATCATAACATAATTTCTACACAAGATTTTTTTAGTTGAATTGAAACTAAAGTAGTTAGAATTCCAAGAAGCTATTTATGAAAGGAAAAATTGCCTTTTGAAAAAAGAATAAAAAATTAAATATATTTTAAACAAAAAACTATCAATGAACTAAAATTGAAAAATATATAAATTATATTCACAAACTACAATGGGTGGTCGGCATAATCATCCCTAATTTAATTCCACGTGAATGGGTCATATGGGTCGACTACATGCTCGAGTCTTTTCTAGTATATGCCATTCACTTACTATATTTAACTTTGTAAAGTTATTTTTAGTTGCCCCATCCCATGTTATGTTTGGTCGCCCTCTTTGTCTCTTGCCTTATATTTCAATTAGCCTTCCTCATTTGACCGGCGTGTCTCTAGGTCTCCGATGTTTGTCCAAAGCAGCTAAGTCTACTCTCTCTAATTTTCTCACCAATGGGTGCTACACCTAATCTTTCTCTCACACTTTCATTAGGGATCCTATCTCTTTTAGGTACTCCAGTCATGCATGTTGACATTCTCATTTCTGCAACATGAAGGCGTTGTTCTTGTTTCTCTTTTAGGGCTCAACGCTCCATACAATATAGTTGGTTTAATGACAGTTCTGTAAAATTTTTGTTTTAGCTTATGTATTATTCTTTTATTACACAGTATTTCTCTAACTTGCCTCCATTTTGTCCAAACAGCTCCAATTCTACTAGTTATATTACTATCTATCTCTCCATCATTTTGTATTATCGATCCTAGATAACGAAAATGGTTGTTTTGAGTGATCATTTGGTTTTGAAGTGCTATCATTAAATTACCAATGCCCGAATCTTTATTAAACTTATGCTCCATATACTTGGTTTTAGTTCGCAATCCTTTCGATTCTAGAACATTTCTACAAAGGGTAAAACTAAAAATTTGAGAAATTGAGAACTAATTTGTATGTATTTATCAAAAAGTAAGAATGTCTTCGTCAAGTGGTGGCCAAATAAGGAGGCTAGCATTAAATGATGGATATTAAAAGCCAGCCCTCATTTTTGTTGATCCAACGTTATATAGAAATAGAGGAACAATATCAAGAGGTCTCTCTATTGACAAGAGTCGTGAACTCGTCAAATAAAATTCTTTTTAACTTTGTTTTATCATTCACAGACCTTAAACACCTTTTCGTTTATTTGGTTAATAAAGAGAGCTTAGGGCTCTTGTTATGAGAACAACCCTTTTAACAACACTATTCTATAGAAATGTGTGTGTTAGAGCAGAGCAGATAGTTTTTAATGCTTAAAGGAAAAATTGACCGCTTGTCAAATGGCCCACTGTTTGCTTCCTCTTCAACTAGTTTCCTCTCAGCTTTGTGTGGCAAATTTGGACTTCCATTGCAATGTCTTATTGCCTTCAACTAGCTGTCAAATTTTCAATCTTGATTTTTTCAATTGAGTCTTCACTAGAGCAAAGAACACTATTTTGATCTCTACGCTCAATGCAATGATCAATGGACAAAGAGCTCAATAGCCACTGTCATAGCTATCCACACCAGACCATAAACTTTAAACAACCACTCTGTCCATCTAGTCTCATGCATGACCATGATCCCTAGTTGGTTAGTGCTTTTGTTTGGTTAGCAACTTGTCTCCTAAAGCGATATGAGATCCCATTCACAGGTGTCCACCACACTCCCGCACACAGGTGTCCTCACGACAGTCAAGAGGTTGCTCCACGTGTATGGGTCAAGTTTGCAAACTTCCAGTGGGGCATTGGCTCTGATTCCATTTGTCAGGACCTATCGCATTGGCTTTGGATCACATCGCATGGATGATAGAAGTTGCTGAGAGTACAAGGTTGAATTGTACACCATATGTTTTAAACCGTTTCAAAGCCATGAGGGGGAACCGAAAGAGGATGAATATGTTGATTATGGTGGTAGGTCCTCACACCTCCCCTATGATTTTTAAGTCTAGTGCCATCATTCGTTTAATATGAAGAGTTGTGTAGCCTAGTGGTATCTCCTCTACCTCCCAAAGTGGGAGGTTGAAGGTTCAAGTCTACAATGGGGCCTGTGGGTATGTGAGTTTCTTGCAAGGATGAAAAAAGAAAGACACAACTATCACATTTGATTCTTCTAAAATGACACAACTACCCTTTTCTCAAATCTCTTAAAAGAAATTCTAATCTCTCTTTATCTCTCTTTCTCTATCCTCTCCATCCCTTTATTTTCTCTCTTCACCACCATAATCGCCTCTGCCCTTCTCTCCAAATCCTCAACTCATCTTGACAACAACATAACGGAAGGCCTCCATCCCTCTTCACCACCCTTTTTTCCCTGACTTAATTGCAGCAATCCTAACCCCGCTACCCTTTATTAGCCAACCTCCCTCACACTTAGAAAATCGAGCGTCTCTTTATCAGCACCATCATGAGATCACTCACCGTATATTATGTTAACAACCCTCCTCTATCATTTCTTCCAATTCCACACTCTCTAAATTCTCTCTCAAATCTCTCCTACACTAAAATTCTTTCATTGCAACATGTCTGAATACAAATTATGTATTTATGTATATATACTCTAACACTAGAATATATGACAAGAACACATTGTATTAAATGGCTTATAGTGATCTTTGGCTTTATTTTCTTTTGTGTAGTTGTTCCTCGGGAACGCTCCCCTTTCAGCATTTTTTAATGATTTTTTTTTTTCTTTGTCAAGAAACTCACACAACCATTTTCTCTTATGGGGACTTGAAGTCTCATATTCTACTTTGGGAGTGCTTTTTATTGAAATCTTACTTATAAAAAATATTATAATTTTATATTCGTGTCCATTTTTGTGTGGAGAGAGGAAGAGAGAATATAAGATGATTTACAATGCCGTTCATGGCAATGGTCACTCAAAAAGGAGGGGTTTTGAAGACGACTATTGTAGGGAAAGAGAGGGGAGATTACGGGGTATAGGGATGTGAGAGAGAGGTGGTTTGAAGATAAGAGAGGATGAGAAAAAAAAAAAAACAATCTGGGTCTGTTTAGAAGGAATGTGATGGTGGAGTTATAGTGTTTTGGGCTCTTGAATTTGAGTATGTTATGTTTTAATATAGTGTAATAAAGGGTACGACGGTATGTACTCTAAGTAATGGTTTAAGAATGGTTTAAGTCTGAAAAGACATCATAATTGATGCATAAGACTCTACCAACCAATAAATAAATAGTCCAATAAAATGACAATAATTTGGAACAATTGAGGGAATTGTGTAATTAATGTTTCAAATAATTGTTTGAATTATTAAATTAATGAAGTCTTAACTCTAACTTTATAAATGCTTAGTGAAATTTTATGCATGATGTAATTAATCTAATTCATTTAGTATGGTATTTATGTATAAATCAAGTTTAAGTTCATTAAATGTTAAGTTAATTGGACATAGATGAATACATGCGTTCATGAAGAGATTTTAGCATTAAAGTTCTAAGGAAGAGATTTTGCACTCTGAGTTTGAAGTGTGATTAATTATACTTTGAGATGATCGGACGGAAATGAATACATGAGTTGATGAAGAGTGGTGCAACGTTCATAAAGATATTGATTTGATATCTAGGCTTAGTTGAATTCTGAAGATAATGCACGTGGGGGAGACTTTAACTATATTTATAAAATGATTACTCACCTTTTGAGTCTCGAAGAGCACCATTTCAATAGATTTCTTCTAATATCTGTTCAGCCCAAGACTGGATATGAAGATAAATTGGCTTAAATATGCCTATTAACTAGATGGTTTTATTTCAAGTGCTACAGTGTCCTGAATTTATAGCACAGATTTAATTTCCTTAAGCTACCCGATTAGGACGAATTTTTATTTGCACCCTTATGACGCATATCAAGTAGTTTTTCAGGATGATTTTGGGATTTTTTTTCTTAAAAACCGTAGAATTAAGTTGCAAGCATTTCCATGGAAGAACATATCCAGAGCAATGACCATCTCATTCCCAAGTCATTTTAAGTTTCATTATCTTAGCATTATCTTTGTCTTATATGCTGGTTTGTGAATATAAATTATTCTTTTTGAAGTATTTTCTGCTTTAGGGATGTTTGTTGTGTTGGTTTGGTGTGAGTTTACTGACATTTGCTGCAAGTGCCATGCACTTCTTGAGATATGGTTTGTGATTTTGAGTTGAAAAAAAGGATTATCATATTTACAATAGATATGCAAATGATGCCCCCGCATAATTTATTTCTCCTTAGTTATGTGAAGAAGTAGTGAGACAATTATTGGGAAACTTGAACATAAATACGCTAATGCACACATATGGTTGGCAACTGTGATTCAACTCTAATTTGAGGTCAGAGGCAATTATGTTGCTAAAAGTAAATTTGAATCTTGAAAGCAAGGGTGTTAAAATAGATTTTAAAATGAGGGAGGTTGTCTGGTTGGATAAATTGATTTCCTCATGTTTTTATAACAATATTACAAGGCATCAAATGAACACATCGTGTACTCCCTCTTTCTCCCTCCCCCTTTCCATTCCCTTTCTCTTCCTTCCTCTAAGGAAATAAGCCATCCTAACACAGTTCCTTAGACATGGTTTAATGTCTATAAATTGATCTGTTAGTTTGAGAACTCATATCACAGGTTCCCAATTAGATCAACTTAACACTACTTAATCAACATTAATCCCAACTATTTGCTGCTACATGAATCTTTCTTCTCCAATTGAAGCCAAAATCTCAGGTAAGTTCCAGACATTATGTCCTTTTTCACAGCCTCAAACCTCCTTTTGGCCTTTCTCTTGTTATTTTGGCACCTTTTAACTCCCATTCAAACATTCCTTTGCACTAGTGTGTTAGTTGGTATGTTGCACATGACCAAAACATCTCAGAGGACTATCCCTCATTTTATTAGCAATATACGGTTTGAAATGTTCAAATATGATGGGTTTTCTATGAATTATATGGTTCTCATATGACATGCGCTTTTATTAAATAGTAGTTTGAATTTTTTTTCAATCACAATTAGTGAAAAGTGGCAGTCAAGTGGATTTTACATAAGCACAAGCTTTTAGGCTTTGTTTAAATGGTTTCGCTACTTAATTGGTCACATACCATATAAGGCTGGTCACTTTGTGGGAATATAAACATTAATTGGGAAAATCACTCCTTTGTGCATTGATATCCTTAAATTTCATCTATTTCCTCCCCCTTTTCTCTATAAACTTTGCAAAACTGTCAATTTAGAATTTTGTTGAATAATCTGACTTCTATATGTGATTCATATGATATGATGATTCTTATGACAAGTCCAATCCCTATAGCAAACTTGTGAATTAAAATGCTAGAAATTCAGAAATGAACTTCATTAAGTTGTCGTCCAGATGACCTTGTTTAATTTATGTTAGTGAACCAAGTAAGTTATTACTTCACCAGAACTGACCTCTGCTTCCCCCCACTCTTTTTAGACCCGCTTTATACTTCTTTCCACGACGAAGAATGGGGAGTTCCGGTATATGATGATAGGAAGCTATTTGAGCTACTTGTTTTATCTCAAGCATTGGCAGAATTCACCTGGCCAGCGATTCTCAAGAAGAGAGAGATATTCAGGTATTTTTTATCTTTCATCCTCTATACATTTTGCTTCAACTTAAAATGCATATTTGACGTTTTGTTAAAACTCTTTGGCAGGAAGCTATTTGACAATTTCGACCCATCATTGATTGCGAAGTTTGACGAGAAGAAGATGCTGTCACTGAAAGCAAATTGCAGCACATTGCTGTCTGAACCAAAGCTCCGTGCAGTAGTGGAGAATGCTAACCAGGTGCTTAAGGTAATAATAGAATTTAGGTCAAGACATCAATCCTTCCAACCTATGCTCATGATAAGTGCGCGGCTAAGCATAAGATTTTCAAGTTCAAGCTTGAATTCATGAATAATGTATTGATTTTCATGACTGCACATACTTGTAGGCATAGAAAGGGGAAACTCCCATCTTTATTGATTAGGGTTGAATTTTGTTTCGAGTATCTATTTCAGAAATAAACAATTTTGGTTTGAACCTAATATATGATTATTTTGTATTAGAACAGAAGGGGGTTAAACTCAAAAGATTTGTCCGAAATTAGAGTGTTGTGGTCTGATTTGCCGAATGGGTTCTCAAATTTTTTGTTGTTGCCACTTGATTTTCTATTCCTTTGCAGGTTCAGCAGGAATTTGGCTCCTTCAGCAGCTACTGCTGGGGATTTGTAAACAACAAGCCACTAAGAAATGGCTTCCGCTATGCACGTCAAGTTCCTGCTCGGACACCAAAAGCAGAACTCATAAGCAAGGATCTGATGCAGAGAGGCTTCCGTTGCGTGGGACCTATTATCGTTTATTCATTCATGCAGGTAGCAGGGTTGGTTAATGATCATCTTGTTACATGCTTCAGATACCAAGAATGCAATAGCACTGTCAAGCCGGAGGCGAAAGAGGTACCAACTACAGCTGTGGAGAATGCTATCCTTTCTGATGCCTGAATCGCCATGCAATATATGAGACCTCACTAATCATAGGAATCAAATAGTGAAAAGATACTACTAGCATGAGATGTGAAAAGCTGAGATAGATTATAGATGGTGTTTGTTCTAGCTGTTTACTTAGCATACTTTCTACATTTGTCTGTTCATCCACAAGACCTATCTTTACTCTTTTGATTCCGCATAGTGCATGCATGTTTTGCTTCTCTTCGATGTTGGAAGCCCGCGGGCATAGCGCAGTTGGATGATAGGACGGACCTTCAGTATGTTTTGTTTGTCTTCGATGTTGGAAGGCCCTACGGGTATAATGCAGTTGGATGGTAGGACAGACCTTTGGTAATAATTTGGACGGACTCACCTGTGTCATGGGGTTGGTACGGGTGGGGGTACTCCAATTAGATTTTATTTTTTTATTTTTAAAATAATGATGGAAGAACAGATGCTAATCAAGTTCCTAGAGATTTCTCATTACAGGTCTCAGCCTATGTAAATCTTTTTGTACTCAAGACTGAACTTTCTTTAACTGTAATAAAATTCTCACTGTCACAAAAAAAAAAAAAAATACAATATTTTTTTTCTTGTTAACGAAGTTTTGACTTGCCTATTGGCTACATTGTCATAAATCATGCTGGAGAGAGCTTTTGGCATTATTTTCTATATGGCAGCATCCCACCAGTTTATTTATTTTTATTTTTATTTTTATTTTTTTCGATTATGTTTATGTTTTTTTCGTTTTCTTTTTCGAAAGTTAAAGCAAGCAGATTCCTTTGGAAGGATAGATCATATCATTTAGACTAAATGATTGGTGGTGTGTAGAACCTTTTATTATTAACAAGTTCTACCATCTATCAACAAATATCCTTGATATTATTATCTTGGCCCCTTTTTTTAAGCCAATATTCTCGAGTCAATTAAGTAAATATTCCTCAACATTTTTTTTTTCTTTAAAAAAAAAAAAAAAAAAAAAGCCATATTCTTGACTCCTATATGCACAAGGCATGATTTTCATGTCACTAGTACAAAATATTGTTTCACAGATTATGTATCAAAAACAAAAAAATAAAAAAATTCATAAACATATACCATAGAGAGATTTTACTGGACACTTATTGGGTCAGTTATATGAAATAGAAAGTAAAAACATTAAAAATAAAAAAAAAAGAAAAAAAAACGAAAAGAAAACATCAATGTAGTTGAAATAAAAATGCTAAGGTGGGATGATAAGAAAAATTAAGAGAGAAAATCAACATATTATGCAAAAATTTAAAACAGTACTACTTGTTATTGATAAAATAAGTGAAAATAAACCTCTTTGGATGGACATACAAACACCAAGAAGAGAAGGAAGAATAAATTGTTCAAATAAAAAATTAATTAACAAAAAAAAAAAAAATTACTTCTAAGGATGAAGTAATAAGAAAATACCTTAATAAATCTCAAGAGAAATTAGTTTACAATAAAAAATAAATAAAAAAAAGAAGAATGGCCTTATGGTACCAAGCTCCTACTTTTCAAAGGGAAATCAGGAATTCGAGCCTCAGTAGAGGCATGTGTGTGAGTACCAATTAAGGAAAAAAAAAAAAAAAAATACTTGTTATAAATAAACAAAAGACTAGTATTTTTTCAAGCAATCAATAAGATGATGATTGATGAGGATGATACCAGGAACAATCTGTTGAAGGTGTTTGGATACATTGAAAGAATGAGAAAGTTCTAAAATTGACAGGTTGACAGAAGCCACATGCCCCCATATAACTACAAGAATGAAAAGCCCTGGTTGTTAGAGGTGTGGATAAGAGCAGGTCCCTCCATCAAGACAACAAAGAATGGCCTTACTACACAAAACACAACCACCCTAAAAAAGTTCATGACACTCAATTGTTTTTTCCCTCTTTGTTTAATACATGAAAAAGATAGTATGTGCATGAATATAAGACATATCAAAAGCCAGCTACCCTTAGTGGGCCCCACCCGACTAGAGGGGCCAAAAAGTCCAAAAGATGAAAACTTTAACTTGCAAGCCACAATCATAGAAATCAAGTTCACACACCATCAGACTTCTCAATCCTTTTAAAATCCAGTTCAATCTGTTCAATGATCACTTCAACAACAACAACAACAACAATAACACCACCACCACCACACCCACACACACAAAAGTTTGCTAAATACTAAAGAAGATGCATCTATTAATTTAAAAATATTGTCAACTGGTTCAATTTTGTGGGTTCATCCCACAAAGTCTACAATGGGCAATCAACTCTTGATCCCAATGAAAAACAGAACACAGTATCTACAAACACCCTAAACAATTTAGGGAGGGTACCATAATAATTGAATGAAGAGAAAATGTAAGGGAGAGAAACATATGAAAATTCAATTCCTCAATGGAAAGCAAATTTTGGTTCAAGACCTGCATTTGTGCAACTACTATCTTATACCTCTAAAACCAATGCCTCCAGAACTGCAAATGCACTTCCACACCTAGTTGAATAAATTTGGAAGCTTAAATTTGAGTCTTCCCATTTCCAAGTGTGAGTTCCAAATCGTCCAATCCCACCTCATGAATCCTCTCTCCTTCCCACGCCTTCACTGGAACGCTCTCAAACACGAATTCAGGACCTCTCCCCTTCTCTGTGATCGCATCCTCGGGGGAGATTCGCTGAGCCACAGGTTTCACAAGATTAAAGGTTGGGGAAGTCGGAACCATGGCAGGCGCAAGTGTTTGGAAGGTCACCCATCGGCAGGAATCAACAGTGGAGGTGTCGGACTCGTCGCATTCAGGTATTGTGGGCGGAGTAGTGCGCTGACACCGAGTTGGGCTTGCTGGGGCAGACGCGGCAAAGTATGGGTAATTCAAGGAGGCCATAGATTGTTTGGCAATGGACTCCCAGTTGAAGGTCTGCTTAGGAAGTCTAGAATTTGGGGAAGAGAGGGGTGGGGTTACAGGGGCACTGTTTGAGATTCGGAGAGGTGGAAAAGATGAAGGAATAGAGTTGCGGAGGAAAGCAAATGCCTGAGATGATGCATTGGCATCGAGTCGGGATGGGCTCGGGAAGGAAGAGGATGAGGGACTTGGTTGGTAAGAAGGAATTGGGCTAGGGAAATATGAAGATGGTGGACTTGGGGTTATGTTGGTTGAAGTGCCTCCCATCTCATGTGGAGGTGGCTTGCTTCCCTGTTTTACAAGAAATTAAATCAAATGCATTTAGATGGTGAAAGTAAGTGAATACACAAACACATATAAAATTCTCCTTGAATTAGCTGCAAATTGATCACAATTATGTTCACAACACACTTTCAGCCAATCATAAATTGAGATTTAAGACATGAAATTGAAAAGGAAATTATTGGGAAAACTTTGATTCCCATATGAGTTTCAGCAACATTTCCCATTTTGGGAACCAACAAGGAAAATTCACAAACTATTCACTTTAACATGCCAATTGAACTAAGAACTCATTTTGAATTAGGAGAAAGTAACTTAATAAATTATTCACTAAATTGCTAAAATTGTGCCTGATAACAGTGCATTTAACCTTTTTTTTAATCACAGTTAAAAACACATACAGAGTTCATCAATAATTTCCCAGCCCCTTAAAATAGATAAGAAAATTACAATTTTGATCCAAATTAAAAAAAACCCATCTCCCAATTCTTCAGATCTAAACGAGATCAAGCAGAAACCACGTAATTCAGATCACAAAGAACACATAGATGCATGCAGAACATATATATATATTTATAGAGAGAGAAATTTGAAAAAACGCAGACGAGGAGAGAGAAGAAAAGGGTACCTTGCGATAGGTGGTGCCATCAGGTTCGACGACCCAACCAGCTTCAACGCAGAGAGCTTTCAAGACCTCGTTGTTGTCACAGTGTTTGGGAAGATTGAAGTTGCCCTGAGCCCTCAGGCCCGCGTATATATTGGCAGCTATGGCTCTCCTCCTCCTCTCTCTCCTCCTGTTGTTCTCTCTCTCCCTCCAAGACGGTTTCCTCCTCCCTGCTTCAGCTGCTGCAGCTGATGACGATGATCCAGCTCCATCCCACACCATTTCTCTCCCTCTCTCTCTCTCTCTCTCTCTCTCTCTCTCTCTCTCTAAAACTTACACGCTTTCTCTTTCTCTCTCTATATATAACAGTACAGACCAGGGTCTCAGGTGCAGAGAGAAGGGGGTGTGGGTATTGCGTTGCAGGGAAAGTAGTATTCACGAGGAATACGCTTCCCCTCGTTGGAAGTGTAGAAGAATCTCCCCTCTCTCTCCTTTCTTTTTCTCTCTCTGTAATCTCTCTCTCACTCTCTCTGATGTAAATAGACAGTAGTAGACACAGATAAAGCTTATTCTGGGGAATGTTACTGTGTATATGGACACAGACACTTCAAACTGTTAGGAATACATGATTGATTGACTGATTGTCTTAACTTTGATAGCGGTAGATCTGATAACAAGGAGTGAAAGATAAAGGAAAATTTACCCTTCAGTCCTAATTTTTATTTTATTATATATATTTACCCTTGTTAAGGAGAGGAGATTTTTATTTATTTTTTATTTTTTTTATCCTTGCAAATTAGGGGAGGGGTATTCGAACATGCTTACACTTGTTTGAGGAATTGAATGCTCTACCAATTAAGTTATTATTGACTATTGAGTAATTCCTTAATCCTAATTTTTATTGAAAGACAAATTTTTAGTCCTATAAATTTATTTTATGATCAATAAATTTTAATTTTGAAAATTTTTATTTCTAAATGAATCTTTCATTTATACCGTACTAAAATTTTGTAATTATAAATTTAAAAGTGATATACAATTTTTTTTTATAGATGTATTCCTTAATGTAAATTTTTAGTTAATTAATGAATGTGGAATTATGAGTTTAAATGATTACGGCGATCAAATTAGTACTTAGATTAAAAAAAAAATTGAGACTTTGAAAGGAATCTCTTGGTTTCCGTAACTGTCATAGTTTGCTAATTAGCAGCATGAGATTTATCCACTCCAACCATGAAAATAGTTGAATAATAACTACATTTTTTAGACTTTAATTATGTCACATGACTATAATGCTTGGTCTGAACTAAGTCACATAAAGCGAAAGTAAGAGCGAGATTGAATTTAAGAACAGAAGTATGAGAATGGCAAAATTAAGTCATAAATAGTGAGAATTTAAGCCAGAATGCACTCAGAACGTGAGAGCGACACCAATTGAGAATGATTGTGTGACTTGGAGTCTGAGTAAATTTCATGCTCGTGAAATCGGTGCCATAAACTTACATACATACATACATACACACACACACACACACATATATATATATATGTATATATATATATACATAACGCCCATGCCCTAAATATAATTCAAAATATTTTGTGTAGGATTCACGGCTACTTTAATACACAAAAATAATATTTTATAAAGCGTCAATAAAATATATTTTACTTTTTATTTAAATTATATAAATTAATTTTATAAGTTAATATTTATTTTAAAATTTTAGAATTTAGTTAAAAAAAAAATTGAAATATAAAATTTGGTGGTAATTTTTGAAAGACAAGGCCATCTGATTAGTACTTAGTTTGTATGAAAGCAAGGGCATAGATGGTTTGGCACATTGGGAGACCAAATTGTTGACAACGAGGAAAGCTTGCCGCGTGTATCTCTCCATATATAATAAGGCAAGTAATTTGTCGTCTAAGGAATTGCTAAATCAACGGTCAAATTTACTACTTCCAGTCTCTTGACTGATGCATGAGTGGGAACACGCGCGATCAGTAGAACTGTTTAAATCATGATGTTGCTGTTAACAAAATGTGATATATACAGGCATAATGTGATTTTTGTTTTTTTATAAAAAAAAATTACTATTAAAAGTTGGATATAAAAAAAGTGTAATTATTCACACCCTTCCAATATAAATGTCCCATTTTGGAAATTTGGTTTTTAAAACTATCTCTGTCTCCTACCATTCCAATTTAAATATCTACCCTTTAATTTTTGATTATTTTAAAATAAATATCTCATTTAAAAAATCAAAATATTATTTTTTTGTAACATTATTAATTTATACCGTCTTGTATTGAACATATAAAAAGTAAACTATCTAGACCCACTATGGATATATAAAAAAACTATTTGGACCCTTATGGATATATTTGATAATTCATTCACTTATAATACAATAAAAAATTATTAAAATTCATCATTTTAAAAAGTTAAATCTTGAAAAGATACGTTTAATTCAGGGGATTAGGATCCTCGGTAGTAAACCGGTCAGGATCCTTTATAGTAAATGGGTCATGTTGTACCTATGTTGTAGTGCAAAAAGAAATATTTTTAAAATGGTTAAAAAAAAAAAAAAAAAGTCCTCTTCTGCTTCAGTGCCTCCCTCGTCGCCGTCCCGTTAGCCATCTCTGTCATCACTTCATTGTTGTCTCACTATTGTATTTTCAGGTCCTCATCCTTTCTTTCTCTCTCTCTCTCCTTTTCTTTTCATTGTTATAGGATAACCCCAGAATTATTCACGAGGGCATAATCAATTAGAATGACTAATGATTTTACAGTAAAATTAGTTTTAAAATTATTTTTAGAATCACAAATGGGTAAAATCCTAGTTTTAAAATTATTTTACAGTAAAATCCTTGAAGCAGTATAGAGGAGACCAAAACCAAAGATGATCGCGAGTAATCCGTTTGTGTAAAGCCACCGGAATTGATACTTTTCTATTGCCGGATCCTCACCTTTGGGGGATATAAACTCACTTACAGCTCCCTATGATTCAAAAGTCCACCTAATGTTTAGAATCACATATGATAATCATTTGTCACAATCTATAATTTGATCTGTTTTCTGTCTTTAAAATACCTCGATAGCCTCTTGGATGAAGAGAACAACAATTAACATGCCAAAAAGTTCTCTGGCAATTCTTGTGAATCTATTTATAACAGTACAAGCATTGCATGTAGCAAGAAAAAACAGCAAGAATGCGTATTCAATGATATGCAAAAAGCAATAGTTGAAAACATAAGAAGGTTTGATTCATAGTACCATCCAGCCCAAGCCAAGAACAAAGTCTTTCCCAAATATTCGCTCCCTTTTGCGAAGTTATACAAATAGGTGTACATGATAACAGTGGGCTCTGCAACTCCTAATATCAAAAGAGGTTGTCCCCCGACTAACGAGTGTTTGATACCACATAAAGCAGTAGAAGTTAAAGTTTTGCATAGAGAAAACATGACTCTTAAACCCGTCAATTAAAATACCAACTCAAAAACGTAAGTGAGGGCATTGACAGTAAATTATCTTTTCATTTGTGCTCCATTTCATTGCCAATAAAGGAAGGCAAGAAAACACATTTGCTAGTTATTTTCAAAAACAAAGATAGTAGTTAGAGATTTTAGCTTTACTTATAAGTTTAAAGGGAACCAAATAGAGCATAAAAATCTGGAAGGTTTTATAATTGTTCGATGTCAGGAAGTTCATCAAATAGATCACTTAAAAATATGTTCACCAACAGGGATAATATATGGACAACAGGTACTGTCAGATTTTCTAAAAATTATTTGTTGGTCCAAAAATTATGAAATTTGGCAGAGAGTAATTAGACATGCAGAGGAACCTGTGGTAAAATTTTCGTAGGGATCGGAACATTACAGCCCCTTGGAGAAAATATTGAATTTCAGCACATTTTAAAATCCTTGTTTATCCCCAAACACCTACTTCAAACTGAAAATCAATATTTTCTCTAAGGGGCTTTAGAGATCCAAATGCTTTCAAATTTTTATCAAAACTTCATTTATGCATCTAGTATTTCTTCGTAAACTTTTGCAATTTTTAGATCAACAGATATTTTTCTAAAAATTTGAGAGTACTTGCTGTCCGTCTTTTATCGCTGCTAGAAAACGAAATTTCAATAATTTTTGTTTGACCAACTTCTTGACACTGAAAAATTATCAAAATTTCCATATTTATACCTCCATTAGTATATGTTCTAAAAACCAAAGCTCGAAATGTTCTCAGCTACCTACATTTTTCAAATGAACAAAGTTTGCCAAACGCTCAATTTTCAGTTCATTCTTTGACTACTGTATGTCCTCTAAGAAACTGATTTCAATGGCTAAGATCAAACTTCTGGGATTGGCTCATATATGTTACCCTCTGAGTCTAGTTTCCAAATCATTTTTGTTTGCTCCATTTCGATTTAAAATTAAATTTTTACGAATTCTTAAGTAATTGCTGAGCAGATTTTGTTTTGAGGTTTTTTGTGACGTGTTTAAGTTGGCAATTTCACACAAGTAGACATAATTTTATTTTGGGTGATACACAGCCCTTTGTTCTAATGGCTGACATTATCTAATATTTTTTCATAAGAACGATTATTGTATTCCTTAGGCATAATAATATCATGATTTGAGCTTTTTGTACTAAGATATTGAGCATGAACTTGAATATCACTTGCATGATTGAAAAATCATATATAAGTTATTGGTTACTATTATGAATATTTACAATAGTCAATGTTTGCTGAGAAATTGCATTCTGTAAGACACTTTGTTATCTTCTTATAGGTGGTGGTTTTAAATGGATAGTTCATTAGGTGAACGAAGCCATAAACCCAAATTTGGAATGATGTTCAAGTCTGCTGAAAATGCATATGACTTTTACAATGCATACGGACGTGAAGTTGGATTTAGTGTGAGAAGGGATTATTCCAATAAAAACTATAAAACTGAAGAAATTAGTTCTGCCCAATTTGTATGTTGCAAGGAGGGTTATAGAGGAAACGATAAAAGGGACCATCTTACAAAAGAAGCTAAGGCAGAAACAAAGGTCGAATGTGGTGCATTCATGTATATAAATTTTGAAAGGGAGGAAGGAATATATTTCGTAGACAGAATTGAAGAGAAGTACAATCATAAACTTATTAGAAAAGATTGCACTCATTTGATGCCTTCCCAACAGAACATCTTTGTACCTCAAGCAATTGACATCGAGTTGGCAAATGATTCTGGACTACCAGTTGGTTCTTCATATGAACTAATGGGACGACAATCCGGGGCAAGAGAAGCGTTTGGGTTTACAAAAGTAGACCAAAAAATTATTTGAGAACCAAAAGATAAAAGCAATTACAATCTAGAGAGGCTGGATCCATATTTGAGTATTTTCAATCCTAAATGTTGCAAAATCCCTCATTTTTTCATGCGGTTCAGTTGGACAAAGATGACTTGATAACCAATAAATTTTGGGCCGATGTAAGGATGATTATTGACTATGGTCATTTTGGAGATATTGTGTCATTCGACACAACATACACGGTGAATAATGTGAATCGACCATTTGCTGTTTTTGTTGGTTTGAATCATCACAAAGAAACAGTTACATTTGGAGGTGTTTTGATGTATGATGAGACAGCGGATTCATTTGTGTAGTTGTTTGAGACATTTTTGAAGGCAATGTCTCATAAATTTCCGAAGACAATTATAAGTGACCAAGATGCGGCTAATACAAAAGCATTAGTATTGGTGATGCCCGAGACATACCACCATCTTTGTATATGGCATATTATGCAAAATCGTACGAAGCATTTAGGCAATGTTATTAAGGGTCCAGTGGGTATAACAGGCATTTTATCTGAGTTTATGAAAAAACATGAGGACGAAGATGATTTTAAAATATGTTGGGAGTCCATGCTAACCGAGTGTGGTGTTCGTGACAACAAATGGTTGTCTGAAACGTATAATTTAAGGACCAAATGGGCAAAAGTATTTGTGAAAAATCATTGGTCTACTAGTATGCATAGCACTCAACTTAGTGAAAGCTTCAATTTCAGATTGAAAAAATTCGCTAAATCTGACCATAATATTCCCAATTTTTTCAAACACTTTGATAGGATGGTCACTGAGAAAATGTATACTGAACTAAAGGCGGAGTACGATTTGACTCACCAAGAGCCGAATGTTAAACTTTCGTGCACGATGGTAGTCAAAGCTGGTGAGATTTACACAAAAAAAATGTTTTAGTTATTTCAAAAAGAAATTCAAACTACAGTTGGATTCTCTTTCAAAGAATCAATTTAGCAGGATGGAGAAGTTATATACAAAGTGGTCTCGCTTGAAAAGCATAATCAAGAATGGCGTGTAAAAAAGAAAACAGATGACTAGCTATTTGACATGCAGTTGTTGGATGTTTGAAATAGATGGTATTCCGCGTTCACACATGTTAAAGGTCATGAGAGAAGTGCTACACAAAACTGAATTACCAAGGAATACATACTGAAACGGTGGACGCAAGAGGCAAGAGATGGGGCAATGTTGGATTTCATTGGTCGTGAAGTGCAAACGGATCCTGAATTGCAATAACGACAAAGATATAGAGACATGTATTATCTATTCACTCGCGTTAGTTCATTTGCATTAGAGGGTGAATATTTTATTAATTTATCCATTATCCACGAGGAACATTTGCTTAAGCTTCTTGAAGAAATGAGAATGCAAAAACAGGTGCAACGTAATGATGAATACCCGTCCAAGGCTGGCAATGGGCGTCAAATTCATGTCACTAATGAGCAAAGTGGCCATGACATTACTGTAAACGGTTTTAAAAAACGGGACACATCAAGAGGGCAGAAAAAAAGACTCAAACCAACATTTGAAATTGCTACAAAAAGGGGAAAGAAATCTTTGAAACAACCTGTTCAATCACACATGAAGCATAAGGTGAGTAGCACTCTAACATGTTACAAATGTTTAAAACATACCGGTTTGACTACCATTGGATTTTCTTTTAAATTTTCTTTTTTTTTTAGGGTGCTGAAATTCCAAGCGAGTATGCATGGATGTCTATACCACTTAGTCCACCCCCAAACCCTAACTTGCGAAGGAGTTACGACTACCAGAGGCTTCAATTTCTTAATCGGTGTGATATAGATAGTGTAACAAGTGCAGAAATATTGAACTACGATTTGTCACAAGCCACCACAGAAGTGAATATTGCTTCTCAATCATCTTATTGTCCATTTCTTAAGCAGGTTATTACCTATTTCATATATTGTTATATTGTAATTTTTTTGTTTATTTAAACAATTATTTATACAACACGCTTGTTGCTAGGTCAATGAGACAACCAATCATGCTAAAGATACAACATTAGCAAATCTAAGCGGTGATTGGGTAAGTCTATTCTTTTATTTATTTATTTTTTATAATCATAATTGGCTATTTATTGATGGTAATACATATTTTATTTTTATTTATTGTATATTTTTTTAAATGCAGCCCTTGGATCTAAACTCTTGAAGTTGTAGTTGAGAAGACATATATGGCGTTGTTTTGTATCTGCCAGGGCTTTGCTCACCCCTAATAATTTTTTAGATGAAGTAAATGGTACCAGAAATAATTAGCTTGATTGAAGATGACTGTTTTACTTCACTTCCCTTGGGAATTCTTGCCTAGTTGAGTTTCATTATTTGGTTCTTGTTGATGTTTAACTTGCCTAGTTACTTTTACTTTACTTATAGGAATTATTGTTATTGTTTTGTTGAATCATACTTGATCTGGTTCAGAATACTCATACTTTGTGAGAGGCATACCAAAAGTTGTGATCCTGTTGAATTATTCCAATTATTCGCCTGTACCGAGTAAGTTTTTATCTAGAAACTCATGCATGCTGCTCATATGTACTATTTTGCTTGCATTTGTCATGATGATTTATTAGGCAATTATTTCCTGTGCGTTAAAATTTCTTATGCATTTGCCAAAGAGAAATCTACTGTATTATCAGTTTTGGCATTTCAAATTCCAATTCAGCTTAGAATAGAAGGAGTTGTGGAATAAATAGTCAAATTCCAAAGTAATTTTGTGAAAGGACTTGTGTAGGGAATTAGAAATGAAAACTTAGAAAAAATGTGAGAATTTCGTGGGGCTATTCTTCATATTTGTAATGGACCAAACATTCCATCTTTTCTCTTTTAAGGGATTCTGTAAGTTAGGATTTGTGATGCTTTTATTTTTTTGAGTGGACGATGGTGATTTCGAGCTCCTCAATGAACATCAACACTAACCAAATAAAACAACTGCATGTACAATGACAAACCACTTATAAATTAATGCAATTGATAGTTGAAATTAAATTTAATTACACTTGGGTCATGCATATCTTTTAAAAAAGTAGACTTACAACCTTTTTGTTTATATGTCTTCAATTTATTAACCCATTTTACCAAATCATTAAGCGCACACTTTGCCCAATTTTATTGGTTGATTTTCTTTACATCATCAATGTACCATTCCAAAAAAGTCTTTCCACACCTCATGAGTAGTGTTTGGAAACAATATGCATCCTCACGCATATAGTATAAAAAGTCACTTAAAATCATCATCAACGAGTCGATCACCCCAATTTCGAAGCATCTCACCAATTTTGGCAACCTTTAAACTCTTTTTTTTTTTTTTTTTTTTTCATGAAACTATCTTCTTTTACCCAACTCCAGTTGGTCATACCCTTGTCTCCTTCTGAGTTCACCATTACTAAGTGACCATTGGGTATCTCAAGAATGTGCTTGACATCTGTCATTGTTATCGGAATGAGTTTATCAAAAAGCCTCAAACCGCTTCTGCGCTCGTCAAAATTTTCTATCAGGTACTGACAAAGATATTGGTTCAAGTGAGTACACTTCAACTCAAGAAGATTTCCAAAACCTATATCCCAGACAACAAAAATCTGGTCTTCTTTAAAACTAGATATTGTTTCAAAAGAAACTTCACCGGTATTGAGGTCACTCTTTTGTTCTGTAACAAATTACAAAATAATAAGTAAAAAAATTGTATCTTCATAAATGTGTTACTTAATAAATTTATAAAATTAATGATCAATGATGAGAGAAAACAAAATATAACACTGCAAAACAGTCTTCAAAGAATTGTAAAACGGGACGTTATTCTATTTTTCAGAGTGTTAAAAGGCTTCACATTGTAAAAATACATAACAGTTTTCAAAGAATTGTAATCAACTAAAACTCCTTGAATATTACTATCAACTATCCCTAGAATGTAAAATTTCTTACCTTAGGCTTTTTCTACTTTTTCTTTTTCCTAGTGTAAGACACTAATTTTTTTTATTGATCTCTAAAAGGCTTTTTTATCAATTTCCGACATCGAATTCCATTCTTTTGAATACTCTTTGTTTTGCCCCACCACATGTGTACCAGTTTTTTAATTTTGTTTTCTAATAACATGACATAAAACTATAATTTTTTTTTTTTTTAAAAAAAAAAATGTTCGTAATGTTGGCCTTAGTCCCAATCAAGATGGTGGATGTATGAAAAGTTCTTCAGCTTAAAGTCAGAATCAGAAAGTTAACTTACATAGTGTAGTCCAAGCTACTACATATTTCAGAAGTTCCCGAACTAATAATGTTCTTAACAGTAGTAAAAGTTAGATCAGGTTAAGCGAACCCAATATACCCCATGTCTCATGTTGCCTGAATTGAGTTAATTTCACTTTCATCACTTTGGTTGACCCAATATAGTAGGCAACATATACTGTAAAACATAATGTGTAATTTCAAAATGTAAGCTTGAGATGCAGGACCTTGGCTTTGATCCTGACCTCCGTGACCATTTAATTTTTGCTAATTGTCAACTTTTTATACAAAGTAGACCGGAAATGTTACAAGTGTTCTGTTTGAAGTTTGTTGAATGGCATGGATGAAATTGAATTTGAGAATTTGGGCAGGATGTTTTTGAATTAAATTGGTTACAGGTTTCAGAAGTTGGAAATTCTGGCAGTGAATTTTTAAGTGTCATAATGTTCTCGATGAAAGCAACTTAAACTGAAATTTTATAATAATATACTCTCTGTTGTTTACATGTATGTGTAAAAGACAAAAGCAAAACGTCTAATTCTATCATATATGTAAATGATTATCCCAAAAGTGATACTGGTCATTTAATCCCAACTATCAAAATGATTTGGTTGGAATTTTTTCCGTCAAATTTCATGTTCTCAATTGATGGCGCAAATTATAAAGATTTTTGGTCTCTGTGGTGGATGGTGAATTCTTATTTTTAATGAACTTCTTGATATCAAACAATTGATTTTTGGTCAAGTGATTTATTTGATATCGAACAATTATAAAACCTTCCAGATTTTTATCCCATCATGTCTACTTTCGAAAAACCAAAGCCTTGGAAATTTCTCAATTCTTTACCATTTTCATCCTACCTCATCGTGCTCGCTCTCATAAAGCACTGAAAAAAGACCCCGGGGAAAAAAACATGGGGTGTCTCATCAGATTAAGCCACAGAAAGAAACAGAGAACTAAAAGGGTAAATAAATGTTAAAGGCCAAATTACAAGCCTGAAAAAATAAATAAGTTGTGAGAAAATAGAAAAAAATTTTAGGCCAGTCAAAACTCAGACAGCAGGTACTCT